AATTCCTTCTTAGATGCTAGTAGCATCTGAGAATTCAAAGTCAGTAGATCTGATGAAAGTAGGGAACAAATTTTATACACATCAAGATTTGTTCTTTGAAGGGGAGAAAAGCAAAATTATAATTCTTTTTAGTTTTAAGGTACGCTAGGAAGTCAAACTAACCTTTGAACAATTTGAGTAAAATGCTAATGACATTTTGGATAGTCTGTGATTTTTTTTTTTTTTTTTTTTGGACATGTATAATGTCATTGTAGATTTTACTATTTAATTAATGACTTGTTTGAAGTTACCATGAGGGCTTCCGGGGAGCTCTCATATACTTTATTATGTCAGAAGACAAGATACAGTCCATTCTTTATTCAGGGGACCTTTTCTTTGCTACAATACTTATTTTCCCAAGTTTTGGTAGAGAAAGACTTCACATTGAAATGACTAAAATGTAAAAGCATTTTGGTTTCAGGTTCAGTCTATTTAAAATGCCATTTATTTTCTTACTGCACAAAATTAGGGAAATCAAGGAGAAAAAATACGATACATCCTCCATAGAAACACCTGAATATTAGTTATTACAATATTTTTGTATATATTATAAATATTAATCAAAGTTGGGGTCTTGCCACGTGCTATGATCCTAGGACTTTGGGAGGCCAAGGTGGCATGAGCTGCTTGCAGCTATGAGTTCAGACCAGTCTGAACAACATATAGCAAGACCCCATCTCCACAAAAAATAATTTTAAAAATTAGGTGGTGTGGTGGCATCCCAGCTACTCCAGAGGCTGAGGCAGGAGCTTCACTTAAGCCCAGGAGTTTGAGGTTGCAGTAGGATATGATGACACCACTGTACTCTAGTCCCTGCAAGAAAATGAGACTTTCTCTAAAATAAGTAAATAAACACAGTTGAGGTCTTGTTTATTTTCTTTGTTGTTTATTCATATGAATATGAATATTAAGGGTTCATTCAGATTGTTACTTGGCTTCACATTGGGTTTGAAATCTTGAATTTGAAATGGAACTGCAGGAAACCTTTTTTTTCTCTTTCTAAAGGTTTGATTGTTACGGTGGTGGACTTTCCAAGATCAACACTCCTTTATTGACACCTCTTAAATTGTCACTAGAAGAATGGAGCACAAAGCCAACTAACGACAGCTATGGATTATTTGCAGTTGTGATGCATAGTGGCATTACAATTAGTAGTGGGCATTACACTGCTTCTGTTAAAGTCACCGACCTTAATAGTTTAGAACTAGATAAGGGAAATTTTGTAGTTGACCAAATGTGTGAAATAAGTAAGCCAGAACCCTTGAATGAGGAGGAAGCAAGGGGTGTGGTTGAAAACTATGATGATGAAGAAGTGTCAATTAGAGTTGGTGGAAGTACACAGCCAAGTAAAGTTTTGAACAAAAAAAATGTAGAAGCTATTGGACTTCTTGGAGGACAAAAGAGCAAAGCAGATTATGAGCTATACAACAAAGCATCTAATCCTGATAAGGTGGCCAGTGCAGCATTTTCTGAAAATAGAAATTCTGAGACTAACAATACTAATGGGACCCATGAATCTGATAGAAACAAGGAATCCAGTGACCAAACAGGCATTAATATTAGTGGATTTGAGAACAAAATTTCCTATGTAGTGCAAAGCTTAAAGGAGTATGAGGGGAAGTGGTTGCTTTTTGATGATTCTGAGGTGAAAGTTACTGAAGAGAAGGACTTTTTGAATTCTCTTTCCCCTTCTACATCTCCTACATCTACTCCTTACTTGCTATTTTATAAGAAATTATAGAGTTGAGTGTATTTTCCTGTGTATATATTAAACAGACCTGCACAAACATTGGTGAAGTTGATGACATCAAAGTTTTTAGCTTATCTTTTGAAGCTACTGGATATTATTGGTCTCTCTAGGTTTTTATATAAATAGTGAAATTTGAATTACTGAAAACCATGTTAATTTTTAGAATTCGTTTTCCTTAGTAGAGACTAGTGATGCATTAGCTTCTGGGAACAAACTTGTATAGTTTCTTAACTGAATTACCCAAAATGGAAGCATTTAAACACTTTTGGATTTACACCAATCTTTTGTGTTTGCTTTTTAAAATAAAGTGCTTGTATTTGTATTCTCCATATTTTGGAGTAATTATCTACATGATGTTTATAGGTCCTGTGGTTTTTCACCTAAGAAGCAGAATCTCATTTAGTACATTTAGTTTTATAAGAGTCATGAAGCCAAATCTTTGATGGGCTGTATCAGAGGCACAAAGTCTAGAATGTGTGTATTCACAATGGTGTACATTTTGTGCCTTGAGTCACCTTGAAAAGTGTCTCAAAACCTGGACAGTTCCTGTCTGTCTTCACAAGAATTTTATATGTATTTATGAAGATGGTTCTGTACTCTAGTAAATCTTTTTGGGCATGGACTAATTTGTATCTCTTCATACTTATATTCTGCACGATCTGTATATAGTACATCAAACTTAGAGGTATGACCTTAAATTTAACTTTTTTTAAAAACTGGGAGGTCAATAAAATTTAAATTGCTTAACCACTATGTATACAAATGTTTGAATTTTTTTACTTGCATGTTTTTATCCTAAATAACATCTGCGTTCTCTAAAACAGTAAGTATATATAAATAATAAATATGAATAATTACCTTTAATATACTTGATACTTTCAAACAGTGGAGGTAGAAAATTTTTCAAAGGAGAAATTGTACTTAGTCCATCCGAGTTGTCATACTTAAAAGGATTATAATAAAAATTGTTGCATCTAGTTGTCCCTTAACGTAGGTACGTAAGTTAATAGAATCTAAAACTGGAGAACTTAAGATGATGCTTTGGGCACACAAAAACTTGGTTAAAATCTCATTTTAAATACAGCATTCTAAATTGGTAAATGATCAATTATCTTGTGAAGTGTTAAAGGAGATTCTTTGAACTAAGACTCTTTCTTAAAAATGATTTTAAAGAATATATAAATGCTATTGGGATAACACTGTTACACCCCATTTCAACAAGAGTACCTTGTCAACTAATAAATTATTTACATGTCTTACCTTCTTCCACAAGGTGGTACAAAAATAAAAGTCATGGTTCTCCTCCCATTCAGAATCACTAATGGAACTTCTAAAAAGAAACAGCCCCTAAATACTACCCATAACATGCTTCTGATGGAGTAGGTCTAGAATAGAGATTGGACCTCTAACACTCAAAGCCAATGAACCAATATAGATTCCTGATGTGAGAAAGTTTGCATTATAAGAAAAACGAAGTATGTAAGAATTTAGGAAGTATTCAGTATCATACCAATGTTTTCATTTTAAGAGGAAGCCTGTTTTGACCTAAGAAAATAATTGGTACTGCATGAAAATCATAATTATATAAAATTTGAGTTCTTGATAACTGAGATTTATGTGAAGCAGTTCGAACCTACATAAATGTAACCTTAATGGGAAGTAACCTAGGGGTTATTCTCTCCTTATGCCTACCTCATGTCTCTACCATCCCCCAAAGAAGAGGAGAGTATGTTACTTTTTGTAAAGTTTCCATTCTTGACACCTTGTGCCTTGCCTTATTGTTCATTTGGCTCTTTCCTGAAACAGATTTTTGATGTTATATGCCCTTCTGACCCCTCAGATTTGGTCCGACCTAGATTCATCTGAAAAATCTTTTTGATTCAGCCTTTGAACTCATGTACATAAGAGGAATCACAGATAATGCTACACATTATTAAAGCAAGCTGGAGGGGGGATGTCATTACTAGGCTCTCAGGAGAAGTAACATTTTTGAACCCTTGTTTTCCACATCAAGTATGGAGTGAAGGCACTATTTAATCAGTTCTTAAGTGATTCATGTAACTGGTTAGTAGATAAATTATAAATGATGCCATTTTGTAAGCTAGACTAACTACTACACAAAAAACATTGGTCTAAACATTTCCAGAAATCATTAATATGTACTGTTTTGGAAAAACTTGCCAAGTAATTAAAATGTTGCTTCTCAATTTTCTTTTGCATTACTTTTTCATATTATAATTCTAAATGAATTAGTTAACTTCAATTAAACAGCTAATGTTACATTTTACATGTGCTTTCTAAAATCTCAAAAGTGTTAAAAAAGTATGTGACTTCTCAAACTCCAGTTTTATGTTACCTGCATGGTGATGTAAAATGCTTTAAAGCAGGCCGGGCGTGGTGGCTCACGCCTGTAATCCTAGCACTCTAGGAGGCCGAGGCGGGTGGATTGCTTGAGGTCAGGAGTTCGAAACTAGCCTGAGCAAGAGCGAGACCCCGTCTCTACTATAAATAGAAAGAAATTCATTGGCCAATTAATATATATAGAAAAAATTAGCCGGGCATGGTGGCGCATGCCTGTAGTCCCAGCTACTCGGGAGGCTGAGGCAGGAGGATCACTTGAGCCCAGGAGTCTGAGGTTGCTGTGAGCTAGGCTGACGCCACGGCACTCACTCTAGCCTGGGCAACAAAGCGAGACTCTGTCTCAAAAAAAAAAAAAAATGCTTTAAAGCAGATTCTAATTTTCTGGTTTAGATCATTAAAAACTGTTGACTGGCTTGTTTAATTTGAAACACAGGAATCATTCATTAAAGTTGCTAGAATCATGAAGTTCATATTGCTATCATTGGCTATCATTGGCATAAGACTGAGTCATAAAAATCAAGCTATGTTGCTGGTATTAGCTATCCCAGTAGTTAAAAATCATTATTTATAGATAAAAGTTTTATCAAGTAAAATTACTCCTGCCATTCAAAATTCCTTTTTTGGATATCTAAATGGAAAATAACTTAGAACTCAGTTTTAAGATGTTATAAATCAGCTACCAATATCTATCTTCATTTATTCATTTATCAATTTGGGGCTCTTTGAGCCCATAAAATGACTTTTAATTTTCATTTTGCTAGTTTTGGAACTCATTCTTGAATCAACCCTTATTAACTTACTCTCTACCTCTGTCAGTAAAGAAAATTTTTAGAAGTCTCACTCAGTAAAATTAGTGTAAACATTCACATATTTAATAGTACCTTTAAAATAAGCATTACTACATTTAAAATGGTTCCAAAATCAATCTATAAGTGGTAATATAAATTAAGAAATATGAACTTAAAGTAAATAAATTTAACATTAGCTATGGTATAAATAATGGTAAATGTATAGTGTACCTTTGAGTCATTAAAATGTCTTTAAAAAAAGATAACAGTATGTTACCAGAACATTAGAAACCATAGCCATGATTCCCAAACTTTAACAATCTACGTTTGATATTGTTTTGGCCACTGCATTCTTCAATGAGTAAATCAACATAATTTCCAGAATTCCATCCTGTCTTATTTTTCAATAGATCTTAACTTCTTTTCACACTCAATGTTGAACACATGGCTCTTTTCAAATGAGTAAAACAAGTGCATTTATCTTAGAGATCCATTTTGCGAAGACTCATTCGACTGAAGGAATCTCTGGGGGAAAAAATGAGAGGATATAGTTATAAGAACACAATTTTTGCATATACCTTTAAAATGTTTTATGTACTTTTTCCTGCCAGAGTTATGTGAAAGTCTTGCCACCAATTCCTATTAACTTCCAAGTTAGATGCTTATCCTACATACTCTGCCATATACATACATATATATATATATATATATATAGTATGTATGTATGTTCTGGCTTATAAATTTTTGTGTAGATTAGAAGCATACTATAGTAACCACTTTTCCAAGTCCATTGGTCATTTATTCATTTGCCCAGTTGGTACTGCAGATATTGTGATAAATAAGATAAGGTCTTAAAAGATAACAAATTTCAGGAAAAGATTTGGACTTATTAAATGCCAAAAGGTGGGTGTTTCTTTACTAAATTTTAAGTCTTAAACCAGTGGTTCTCAAACTTTGTCTCAAGACCTTTTTACATAAGAACCCCAGGAATCTTTTATATGGGTTATATATGGATATTTACCATGTTAGAAATTAAAACTAATAAAATTTAAAATTAGGTTATTAAGTATGAAATGTCCAATTTCCCTAAGTACTAAGTTTGATAGTTGGTATCTCTGACATTTTACTTTGACACTTCTTGTTTTATTTTTATTGTGAAGGTACATCCTCAGTCTTTCAAACGCATGTTTTAGCTGGTGATTAGCTTTCAAATTGTTTTTTAGAGCAATTTTTGTGAAACCATGGATAAGTCAAAAATTCGTGTTACTTCTCAATATGAGTTCCCTTGTGGAACCAATGCAACGCAGATAGCTCAAAATATCAATGAAGTGTAAGGGAAGAATGTGGCTAATAAACACACAGGACACTGATTAGAAGATGAGAAGTTCCGTTCCACTGATTTTAAATCTTGAAAATGAGCCACATAGGCAACCTGAGACCAAGATGGATAATGATGAGCTGAAAGCTGTAGTGGAAGTGGAAGCTGAAGTGTAGGTGAGTGGCTGTGGCCTGGTCTTGGCAATGCCTGCAGATGAAAGAGAAGGCAGGAGGCCAGAGGCTAACTGCAGCCTCTAAGATGCACAATGATGAAATTACAGTTGGACTGTATCTGCACTTCTGGAAAATAAGACTTGAATGCAAAGGCAGCACCAAACAAATCTCTAATGAGTCATCTCAGCAAGTACTTTAACAAGATGGTTTCAGGCCATCTTTGAAGTTTCTCTACTGTTGTGCTGAGACAGCATCATTGTATTTGGTCAACTGGAGCATGCACATGGAATTTTGATATTGCTGACTGCCTTTGGCCAATAGAATAATCTACTCTTCCAATACCTTACTCAAATGAAAATTCAGGAATTTGCTTGGGTAGACATTCTGATACATGTCATCAAGCTTGGATATTCCTCCCTCTGGTGCTGATTTGCCATGGTCTCTGGCTCCACCTACTTATGGATGTAGAATGTCTGGTAAAGTCAGAGAAGCCTGTTATGAATTTTGTCTCCAAATCCATGGATTGGTACTTTTGCCACATGGGACTGCTTCTGTTTGAAAAAGAAAGAGGTGGTGTGGTGGTGGGAGAAACTGCTGGTTATCACCCAATACTTGTCTCCTTCTTCGCTAATAAAAGAATTTTTAGCTGGGCAAAAAAACAAAAAAGCTGTACTGGAAGCAGATCCATCTCAATCTACACATTGCATTACCAGCAAGGTTTGACGTTACTCTTCCGACAGTACTGGATCATTTGAAACAAAATGGCAAGATAAACTGGATAGATGGGTTCCACATGACTTAAACCAGCATCAGCAGAGGAATTGTCTCGAAGATTGCCTTTTCTGTCACGACATAAAGGTGAACCATTTCTACACAGTATTGTTACATGTGAAAAATGGATTTTTTTTCACAATCCCAAGCATCTGGCACAATGATTGGATACCGATAAAGTGCCGAAACACAGTCCAAAACTGAATATTCACCAAAAAAAGCTAATAGTGTGTGTTTGGTGGTCCAGTGCTGGTATTATCCACTACAGCTTCATGAAACCAGATGAGTCGATTACAGCGGATGTCTACTGCAACCAATTGGACGAAATGATTAGCATGCTTGCCATTAAGCAGCTGAGATCACTCAACAGAGACAGGCCAATCCTCTTGACAAGACAATGCTTGCAACCTATGATTGCACAAACAACGCCACTCAAACTACAGAAGCTGGACTTGGGAAATCTCTGCCATCCATTGTATTCACCCGACCTTGCACCAACAGACTATCACTTCTTCCAGGCTTTGTAACACTTCTTGCAAGGAAAAATATTCAATCTCAACAAGCTGTGGAAAACATCTTTTGTGATTTCAACACCACTCCCTCACTGCTGGCATAAACAAGCTATCATAAGATAAACTATCAAAACTGTGTTGATAGTTTAGGTGCATACCTTAATTGTATTGCTTCTTGTTTGAGATATAAATAACTACACTTGATTTGAAGTCAGACATTTCATATTTAATGATCTAATAATTATTTTACAGACTAATCCATCACTACATGTCACTATAAATACCATTGCTTATTAAAAATAAGAAATTTTAGAAGAGTGACACTCATGTAAGAGTCTGGCTCAACAGGCCTAGATTCTCATCCCTGCTTCCATACTCAGTCTTTTTTTTTTTTTTTTGAGACAGAGTCTCGCTTTCTTGCCTAGGCTAGAGTGAGTGCCGTGGCGTCAGCCTAGCTCACAGCAACCTCAAACTCCTGGGCTCAAGCGATCCTCCTGCCTCAGCCTCCCAAGTAGCTGGGACTACAGGCACAAGCCACCATGCCCGGCTGATTTATATATATATATATATTAGTTGGCCAATTAATTTCTTTCTATTTTTATGGTAGAGACGGGGTCTCGCTCAGGCTGGTTTTGAACTCCTGACCTTGAGCAATCCGCCCGCCTCGGCCTCCCAGAGTGCTACAGGCGTGAGCCACCGCGCCCGGCCCATACTCAGTCTTTTACAATATCACATGTCATGTAGTCTCTGGAAAACTGCACTATTACCCTCATAAGGGAATGAGAGTGAAAAAAGGAAAATAATAATTGCTAGTAATATGAAATTAGTTTTGACTTTAGGAACCTCATGAAAGGATCTTAGGAACTCCCCTCATGGGTCATAGGTCATACTTTGAGAACCACTATCTTAATACCTTTAAGCTTACTACAAAATAATGCAGATTTTGTAAACCGGCAAACTTAAAAAATCAAATTCTAGGAACTCTAAATTCTAAAGTTAAAAGTCAAGGGGATGATATTCTTGAAATACTTCTTAAGTTGGTTTCTTTTGCTTATTCTTCCTATAATTAAGGTTAAGCCATGAGGCTTAATATCATTAGGAAAGTAGAGGGCAGGTGCAAAGAGATCACATTCAGCTCTGAATCTTATAGTTTGCTTAGAAGGGAATAAGCAGTCTTCAAAGCTAGATGCTGTTCATCAAGAAAAAGTTTTTTCTAAATTCCAGAAAATTGCCTGAAAATATTAACAACCAAAGCTTGGAGGATTAGCCAAAAAGAAGATCAGAGAGGAAGGCAAAACTCAGGATATGTGTAAAGGAAAAGTTCCCTTCAGATAGGAAGAACACAGGCTTTCACAGAAAGGAGTTGGAGAGATCTGAAGGAACTGATACTGTGATCAGGCAACTGCCCATCTTAGGGAACCAGTACCCTTGCACTCTGGGATCTCTGACCTGGTGGATATAAGACTATTGGAGGGGAATGGAGGCAGCAAGAAGGAAAAAAATCCAAAAAGATTGAAGGGGAAACAAAAAGTGTTGGGAAGTACTATGTTGTTTCCCATTGGGAATTTTGAGAAGAAACTACCTAACAGGGTATCCCACATCAGTAAAAGATGATAAAGTAAAATATGTTTTGCCAGAGAAAGAATCTAAAACAGGCCTTCTGGTCTAGCCTCTTCCTACAGATTGTGGAAGACATTCAGATGATCTATATGCTGACCTAAAGCAAGCACTTAGTAGACATTTTCTGAATGAATGTGTGAATGACTTTTTTCTACAGGCCTAGAAGTAAAAACATATGAGACTACGTAAGCACAGGGACTAATTCCCAGGTGAGTAAATAGCCAGTTTAACTCTCTTCTGCAGTATAGTGTACCATGCATCTACATTCTATTTTTATGTAAACACCTTCAATGGCCTTCCAATTATTAATTTATCAGATAATTACAATATAATTTTCTGTATTGCTTTATTTTATGGTTAGTAAAGAAAGAAAAGGGTGGTAAAATATCACTGCTACATAATTCAACAGTTGTATGTAAATTTGATTTCAAAATGTAAAAAAGGCAGTTTACTTTTAGCAGTTATTGTGCCCTTTCCAAAATTCAGGTGATAAAAGTAAAATGTCAGGCACTGTCCTAGGAACTTTACATCTGTAACATGATTTAATCTCTTCAAGATAACAATAACAACCTCTTCAAGGTAAGTACTATCATCTCATATACAGAGGAGATCTAAAACTTAAATTACCTGCTCAAGTAGAACTAGGATTCAGTTGTAGAAAATTCCAAGTAATTTCCATTTCTAATTTGTCACATTTAAAAAGTAGAGAAAAATACTGAAGCCTTTTTGATGCTCAATGGAGTTACCTGCTTTAATACATATCTTGAAGAACACAGTGTATACTATTTACTATCATGACTGAGGGAAATGAATACCTGGCTTCTGATAGATTCTAGTGAATTCTCCCACTAAAATATCAGAAAGTATGACAGAACTTTAAAAGGAATAGCTTTAGGAGGCCAGACTTAATAGTCCTGATTAGTATGAGTACTTAGCATAACTTTATGATTCTCAAGTTACAGGAAGAACTGACTTTTATGTTGTAGACTGATTAATGTAAGGGTAATATGGGTTAAGCGTCCCTAATTTGGAAATGAAATCCAAAATGCTCCAAAATCAGAAACTTTTTGAATGCTGAAATGACTTTTTGAAAATCAGAAACTTTTTGAAAGCTCAAAGCTTTGAGGATTTTAGAGTTTCAGACTGAGGATGCTCAACCAGTAAGTAAAATGCAAATATTACAAAATCCAACAAAATCTCAAACCTGAAACACTTCTAGTCCCGAGCAATTCAGATAAAGGATATTCAACCTGTAAAAGGTTTATACTAGTTGAATGTTAGGTTTCAGAGGAAACATTATCTAAAACCATGTGTAGATAAGCATACCTGTGGCAGGTGACAGGCAATACTGCCTTATATAACTGAGGGATCTTTCTGTTTATCAGTGGCTGTAGGGCCTCTTTAAGGCGATGATAGTTTCTCTCCAGTTCTCTTTGATACTCCTTTTGATCTGGCCCAATTAAGCTCTTATTTTTTCTTAAGGCATCTTCACACCTAAGAAAAACAGCATGTTATTAAAAAATTACTCTGGCACAGTTTGTGGGCTTGTGTGTATATACACACACACATATATCTATCATGATGAGGATATTCAGTTTTTCAGCTGAATGTTAAATAATCCTTTTATTTTAGGTTTGATGAAGGGAAGGGAACAGATGATCAACTGAGTTCCTTTAAAATTTAATAAACATTTACTTCAATTTTCATTAAACTGAAAGTTATACATTTTTTTTTTTTTGAGACAGAGTCTCGCTTTGTTGCCCAGGCTAGAGTGCCATGGCATCAGCTAGCTCACAGCAACCTCAAACTCCTGGGCTCAAGCAATCCTGGTACCTCAGCCTTCCAAGTAGCTGGGACTACAGGCATGCACCACCATGCCAGGCTAATTTTATATATATATATATATATATATTAGTTGGCCAATTAATTTCTTTCTATTTATAGTAGAGATGGGGGTCTCGCTCTTGCTCGGGCTGGATTCTAACTCCTGACCTCGAGCAATCCGCCTGCCTCGGCCTCCCAGAGTGTTAGGATTACAGGCGTGAGCCACCGTGCCCAGCCTATACATTTTTAAATGTTATATCTAAAGCCATTTTTTTTTCCACATTACCACTAGACTAGAAGTTCTTTCAGGAATGTGTTCACACTCATTTGTGTGCACCAATGGTACCTGGCACAGTGCTTTGTCTAGGTTCAAATAAATATTTCTTAAATGAATAGATCTCGATGACAATCCTTTATCTAACTTATCCAAATATTTAAGAAAAATATCTGGACCCCATGAATGAAGAAAGGATGCTAAAAAAACAATATATAAATATCAATATTTGTGGAATGCAGCTAAAGTGACGCTTAGTAGAAAATGCATAGTCTTAAATGTTTATATTAGAAAAGAAAGCTAAAATTGAAGAGCCAAGCAACTTAAAAGAATAAACATAAAGTATAAATAAGGAAATAAAATTTTAAAATATGACAAGAGTATCAAAAATTGCAAAAGTTGGTTCTTTGAAAAAAAAAAAAACTAAAAAAAAAATGGACTAAGCTATAGCAAGATTAAATGAGAGGTCAAATATTCCCTACTAGAAATTTAAAATGGAACAAAACGTCAAATATACCCAAAGTTTTAAAAGACATAGAAGAGATTATGTATAATTTACTGCCAAAAAATCTGAAGTTATACTTTTCTAGATAAATATAATTTAGTAAAACAGACTCAATTAAAAAATGTGAATAATCCTAAAATCATCAAATAAATTGTAGCAATTAAGTCACAAATCTATCCAAAAAGAAAATACTAACATGCAAATTCTACTGAACATTCTAAGGACAAATAACCCCAACATAATACAACTATTCTAGAGTATTAAAAAAATGAACATAAGGAAAATAAGTATTCCTGAGAAGAGTTTCAACTTATTTTTCAAGGCTGGTATACCAAAACCTAATGGGAACTATAAGAAAAAATTATAATCCAATCTTATCCATAAAAAATCACTGCAAAACTCCTAAAGAAAATATAGCTGGCCCTCTCTATAAAGTGGGTTTTGCATCCATGGATTCAATCAACCATGGATTGAAAATATTTGGGAAAAAAAATTGTGTCTGTACTGAATATATACAGACTTTTTTTGGTCATTATTCCCTAAACAATACAGTATAACAACTATTGGCATAGTATTTACATTGTTTCAGGTATTATAAGTAATCTAGAGATGATTTAAAACATACGGGAATACGTACATAGGTTATATGCAAATAGTATGCCATTTTATATAACAAAGTAAACATCCATGAATTTTGATATTCACAGGTGGTCCTGTAACCAATCCTCCATGGATCCTGAGAGACAATTGTAATAGGAAACTTTTATTTTATTTTATTTTATTTTATTTTATTATTTTATTTTATTTTATTTTTTGAGACAGAGGCTCACTCTGTTGCCTGGGCTAGAGTACCATGGCGTCACCCTAGCTCACAGCAACCTCAAACTCAGGGGCTCAAGCAATCCTTCTGCCTCAGCCTCCCAAGCAGCTGGGACCACAGGCACACACTACCACATCCGGCTAATTTTTGCTAATTTTAGTAGAGACAGGGTCTCACTCTTGCTCAGGCTGGTCTCGAAGTTTTGACCTCCAGTGATCCTCTTGCCTTGGCCTCCCAGAGTGCTAGGATTACAGGCATGAGCCTCTGCTCCTGGCCAAAACTGTTTTATCAATGTATTAAACAGAGACACACACACATACATTCACATGTACACAACCCATGACCAAGTTGTTTATCCCTGGAATATATAAAAGATTGGGTTATAAAATCAAGAAATGTTAATTACCCCATTAAAAGATTAAAGGAGATACATAAAAAGGCATTGGTAACAAAAGTTTAAAACCTGCATAACTACAAATAGGTGGAAACTCTCTTAACCTAATTAAAAATATTCATAAAAACATGTAGCAAACATTATACTCAATGGTGAAACCTTTCCTTTTTAGATCAGAAACAAGAAAATTATGACCTCCCTAATTATTCCTGTTCCACATAGTACTGGAGGCCCTAATTACCACTCTAAGACAAGAAAAAGATTCTACTGGTAAATTATTAGAATTAACAAGTAAGTTTGGTAAAGTTCTCATATAAAATTAATATATAAAAGTCAACTGTATTTCTGTATACCACCAAATAGAAAACACATTTTAAAAAGACATCATTGGCCGGGCGCGGTGGCTCACGCCTGTAATCCTAGCACTCTGGGAGGCCGAGGCGGGCGGATTACTCGAGGTCAGGAGTTCGAAACCAGCCCGAGCAAGAACGAGACCCCATCTCTACTATAAATAGAAAGAAATTAATTGGCCAACTAATAGATATAGAAAAAAAACTACTCGGGAGGCTGAGGCAGCAGGATTGCTTGAGCCCAGGAGTTTGAGGTTGCTGTGAGCTAGGCTGATGCCATGGCACTCACTCTAGCCTGGGCAACAAAGCGAGACTCTGTCTCAAAAAAAAAAAAAAAGGACATCATTAATGCTTAAAAGTACTAGATACTAAGGAATAATTTAAAAAATATACAAGTTTTTCTACAAAGAAAATTTAAATAATAAGACATTTAAAAGTTCTAAGTAAATGGAGAAATATACCATATTTATGGATTGATATCAGTAAAGATGTCAAAAATTAAAATTTATATTAATATATATTAAAATTTATATTAAACTCTTTTATTGTAAATTTTAATAGTCTTTGAACAAAATAGTCTTTGAACAAAACAAGGTGAGATGAATTGCTCTATCCAATAAAAAGGCTTATTATAAAGCTGCAGTAATTAAGACATCATGATACTGGCTCAAGGAGAGATAAACAGAGCAATGTAGGAGAATAAAGATCCAAGAAACAGATGCACACAAACATGGACACTTAATTTATGATAGTGATAACACTGCAAAGCCAGTAGAAAAAGGACAGTCTTTTAAATAAGTGGTCAACTGGATATCCATATGAGGGGGAAAAAAATGCTGTCCATATTCAGTAAATGGTACTGAAATAATTTTCAGTTATCAATAAGGACAAATATCGAACTGATCCCTATGTTGAACCATACACAAAAATCAACTGCAAGAGGATTTTCTAAAAAGGAAAAAAGGCTCTTTTTTTTTGGTCTCTCCACCTTTCACTTAACCTATGTTGAATGACTAGTCATAAAGGAAAAGACTGAATCATTTAACCCCATTAAATTTAAGAACTTCTGTTTATAAAAATAAAAGTGAAAAGCCCTAAATTCAGAGAGGATATTTGTGATACTTACAAATGATAAAGCATTATATATCCAGAACATACAAATATCCTTAGAAATCAGTAAAGAAAAGAATCCCATAGGAAAATGGCAAAAGACTTGGACAAGTAACTTTATAGAAGAGGAAAGAAAAATGGCTAACAAACACATGACCAGATATTTAACCTCTTTGGTAATCAGGGAAATGCAAATGTAATCCATGATCACATATCATTTCACATCTACTGACTGGTAAAAGTTAAAATGTTAGACAATATCAAGTATTGGTGAGGATATATAGTAATAGGAGTGCTCTCAAATGCTATTGGTGGGAATGCAAATTTGCCTTATACACTTTGGAAAAAAATGTGGTATCATCTGGTCCAAGATGAACCTAGGAACCAACAATACTATTCTTAGTTATAAGCCCTAGAAAATCTCTTGTACATGTACATCCAGAAATAGATAGAGAAATATTTGAGTAGGACTCTTTGTAACTAAAAAACAAAACAAAACAGGAAACAACCAAAATATCCATTAACAGAAGAAGTAATAAATAAATCATGCCATATTCATACAATGGTATATATAAAAATAAATTAACTAAAGAAACATTTATTACAGATATATCTCAAAAACACTGAAAATGGCAAGTCACAGAAGAATCTATAGACGGTTCATTTTATATAAAGTTAAAAAATGCAAAACTAAATGTTATTTAGGTATACATTAATTTATAGTAAAACTATAAAGACAAGAAAGGAAATGTTAACTATGAAATTCAGGATACCAGTCACCATTGAAGGAAAGGAGAGGGCGATGATATCAGAGAAGGGTACATGGGGAGGGGAATCTCAAAGTAATGATAATGCTCTATTTCTTAAGCTGAGTGGTGAGCACATGACTTTTGTCTTCCTATTCTTTAATAGCAAATGTTATAAATATTTACAATATATTCAAGATTTAATGAAAATAAGTTTTAAAAAACAAAACTGAAGATAAAAAATAAACATGTGGAAAATAATTTATTGTTTTTAGTAATAAAAACGGAAGTACCATTTAACACATTGACTGCCAAACTAGAAAAAAAATTTTTTGCCCTGAGGCCACAGTGTTTTATTACAAAATAAGCAGAACAAAAATTTCTATTTATTTATTCTAATTTTCTATTCTAGAAAATAGAATAAAAACTAAAAACAAAACAATCCTTTCAAATTTAGAGAAAAATTTGTTA